CCCTCTCAAGTCTTGCAGAAGACATTTTTGGTTTAAGTTGCTAAAATTTTTAGGGCTTTGTGAGGCAAATTATTTTTAGTAATTAACTCTGGAGCAACTGATGTGACCATATGCCGTAGGATTTATGGGGTTACAGCAGTGACAGGTTAATGGTTGGACTTGATCATCTTAGAGGTCTCCTCCAGCCTTGATGGTTCTATGATCAGAACAGCCCTCTTCAGACACTGCTCCCAGCTAATCCAAATGTTCAGTTGAGCTGGAATTTAGGGATATATGAAGTATGAATGGTTATTTTGAGTCTCCAAGGAATTGTGCTTAGTAGGGGAGAGGTTATGGGCAATTCTTGATAGCTGTGACTGCCTCTAACTTCGTGGATTTGTTGTCAGATTCCAAACGTGTGAGGCTGCAGTTGTCTCTGGGGGTGTATGGATGTGGGGCTCACTGCAAATGTTGTGAAGGGGAGATTTACAGAAGCTGCTTTAGCCTTGTAACCTCCATCTCCAGTGAGTGGTGTAGAGGTGCATCCCTCAGGTGATTTGGAGCAGGAGAACAGTGTGTAAGGTCCTTTGAAATACCTTTGCATAGGAACTAGTCTCTTAGGAGATGGCTGAAGGGAGTCATCTGGCAGAGAGGCTGTGAGGGCACAGATGGCCTTTGGGATGGTGGAAATGATGAAGAGAGTTAGGAGGAGAAAGGGCTCTGCTGATAATAGCAAGCCTTCCTAGTTGTGGGGGAGTGGTGTTTGGAAGAGACCTTTGACTCTCAGGAAGTCTAAACCCCAGCTCTGTGTGACTGTAAGAGTCATAGGATGGTTTGGGTTGGAAGGGACTATCAAAATCATCCAGATACAACTCCCTGCCGTGGGCAGAGACACCTCCTCTCAGGTGTCTTTAGAGCTCTTGGTGTTGGTTCCCTGGAACTGGAAGTTTGTATTAGCTACTTCAGTAACATTTATTTTCATTTTTAGAGGTGATTCTCTTTGCTTTAGCTGTGGAGCTGAAACAGACATGTCCTCTAAGTAACTGCTGGCTGGGAAGGGGCTCTAGGAATTCATGCAGCTCTCCACTGGCAGAATATATGATTGCTCAAGTTTTTCTGTTTGTTTCTGCTCAGGCTGTTTGACCTTGCTGAGCATCTTAGCTTAGGAGAATGATTGAGGGTTTCCTCTAGACCATCTCATTAGAAATAATTAGAAAGTTTAATAGCAACAATTAGCTGTCAGAAACTAAAGGGATCTAAGCCTTGACACCATTGCATGGAGAGTTTGTTAAACAGGTTTCACTTTGCTCTCAAGGAGAGTGGCCCTTTACTTACCTGCCTTTGCCTTGCTCATAGAAATGGAAAGCAAAGGCACTAAATAAAAAAATCCAGTGAAGTTAATGACAGGAACATAAATGCTTTGAGGAAAACCTTCATTGTTTTATTTAATAAGTTCTATTTGCCTCTTCTGTAAGGTGCTTTGGGCAGGGCCAGGGCACATTGACCAGTGTTGCTGCTTAAACATAAAACACATCATGAAAGCTGTAGGTAAGGATGCTCAGTTGTGTAATGCTGCTTCTTTTTCCAAGTGTGTTTGATTTAGCATGATTTGACTTCAATGAATTTCATGTGCTTGGAAACCCAACTTTGGGCAAAGGCTGCTAACATGGGATTTCACTTGTCATTTAGATAATTTTCCTCTTGAAAAGGGAGTTAGAAGTTTGTCTCATGTGGGTGAACATTTCACTGTGACATTCAGAAGGGAGAACATATCAGCATGGAGACATAGATGGTGGCGAGAAAAGCTCACTGAGTTTAAAAAGTCATGATTGTTCTTTTGGTAAGGTATGTGCAGTTCTTAGACTTGAAAACTGTCCCTGCTTTGGGGTTTTATGTGGTGCTGTGTGTGGCAGTTGCTGTTGAATGGGAACTAGCAGAGCTGTAAAAGTTTATCATTGAGCTGCTTTGCACTAAGTAAAAGTTTGTGGAGGTGTCATTCAGTTAGCCAAATCCTGAGCCTCCAGAAAATAACACATCTCTGTAAAAAATTAGAGTTGTTTTGGTTCTGGTCCTGGAATTTTTATAGCTTCCAGTAAAAAAAAAAATTAAGACTGGGTGAAAAAAACCCCAAGTCCTATTTCATGTAGGTAATGCAAACGTTGCTTATCTTCCCACACGATGTGCTCGTAGGAAACTACAGAGGTATGAAAGGAGTAGTTTTCCAGATGATTTATTTGCTCTGTTAATGCCTTCAAAACAGAAAGCTATGAAAGAAAATCAAATCAGTTAATTTAATATAAGAAATCCAAATAAAAGCAGAAAATACTCAATTGTTATGTATCAAACTAGAGCATATAAGAATAAAAGAAGTCTGTAGGGAGAGTTCATGCATTAGGAATTTTATTCAGACTGCTCAGTGCACTTTGCAGAATGGTTTCGTGGCCAGAGTGATGTTTGGGCAACAGTTGGATGTGATGGTCTTGGAAGTCTTTTCCAACTATAATGACTCTGTGAGAGCAAGCCAAGTGGGGTGGTGAACCTCTAAGAAGCAGCGTCACGGATGTGAGGAAGGAGAGTGAGTGGGTACTCACACCAAATCTCTCTTGATTAAGTGAGGTGATCCTGCTCCTCTCCTCAGCCCCAGTAAGGCACATCTGGAGTGCTGTGGCCAGTTCTGGGCTCCTCAGGACAGGAGAGACGGGTAGAGACTGGAGCATCTCTTACAAGGACAGGCTGAGGGAACTGGGGCTGTTCAGCCTCGAAGAGATGCTGAGAGGGACCTCATCACTGTCTGTCAGTACCTGCAGGGAGGTGTCAGAGCAGTGAGGCACAGCAGTAGGACAAGAGGCAACAGGCAGAAACTGATGCCCAGGAAGTTCCACCTGAACACAAGGAAGAACTTCTTTCCTGTGCAGTCACTGAGCACTGAACAGATTGCCCAGAGAGGTCATGGGTTCTCCCTCACTGGAGATATTCCAGAACCACCTGGACACAATTCTGAGCCATGTGCTCTATGAATTCTAGTATTGTTCATGCTGCTCCTCAGTTGAGTAGCCTCCAGGAATGCTGTGCTGTCAGCCCTTCCCCGTGGTGTTCAGAAGTTTGGGCTTGCAGTTGAAGTCATCAGTGAAAACACAAAGCTGTTGCTGAAGGAAATGACAATTCTGTAGAGATGTCCTTTAGGGTTTTCACCTAAATGGAGATCTGAACAAATATTTCACTGTTTTGATCTCCCTTTGCAGGTCTTGTCTGTGCTGGGTAATCACAGTCTGTAATGAGCTGAGCGTGATTCCTTTGAAGTCAATGAATGAGTAATTTTTACCGTGAGCTGGAAAAATAGCATTTACCTTAGCTTGTTCTGCTGTTTATTTTACAGATGATTTTCTGTTGGGATTTGTGTGTAAAGTCTTTAGACCTCCAAAAAAACCCCAAAACAAACTAGTGGTAGTCAAGTATTTCTTCCCTGGGCAAGAACCTGATTAGAAGATGCCATTTTGTACCAATGGGCTGCAGCTGTCCATGGTTTTGTTAGGAACTGACAGGACAAAGGGTAATCGGTATGAACTGAAAGAGGGAAATTCAACGTAGATATTAGGAAGAAGGTTTTTTTCCTGTGAGGGTGGTGAGACACTGGCACCGGTTGCCCAGGGAGGCTGTGGCTGCCCCAACCCTGGCAGTGTTCAAAGCCAGGTTGGCTAAAGCCTTGAGCAACCTATTCTGGTGGGAGGTGTCCCTGCCCAGGGCAGAGGGTTGGGACTGGATGATCTCTAAGGTCCATTCCAACCCCTTAGCAATCTATGACTCTATGTGGTTGGGGCTGTGGATAAGAGGAGCCCCTGAATGTGTGTCAAAACATGGACTGCACTCATACAGTCCTCTGGGGTGAAATGGGGAAGAGAATGGTTTGTCTTATCTCCCTGTGTCAGTGGTACTCTGAGGCTCTTTGAAAATGAAAAGTGCTTCTTAATTCACTTCTATTTCTGTCTGCTTGAAGGAGGTAGTGGTTTTCCTCTGTTCCAAGTAGCAAACCCAATTGCTCCCAAAATACAGTCATCACATGGGATATACATGCTTTTATGTATTTTAAGGCTACACCTATGCATTTTCTAGCTCTGCATGTACTGCTTTATGTCTTTAAACCTCTCTTTTGAGTAAACCAACAAACTCTTACTTATTTTCTTTCGTTATTCTGCTCTGCTTCCATTGATGACTCTAAACTTTTGACTCCAGACTGGCAATATGAGGGTAAGATGGCAAACTGTGACTTCCTGAGCATTGCTCGTCTGCTTTTCATTTGTGTTTTCCTTAGAACATGATTAAACTTGTGTTCATTAAGTATATCCTTTCATTGCAATTAAATTCAAATTATGTTTGTTTCTGTTGTGAAGCTTTAATTATGATTTATAACTTTTTATCATCCCTTTGTCATTTCTTTGGGTTAAATTGCCATTGTATGACCTCTGTCCTGATGGACTTACGCTTCACTGGGATCCTGATGTGATCTCTAAAGCAAGACATGAACAGATTTATCACTGTAGTCATCAAACTGTATCATGGTGGCATGTGACAATGGGTCTTTACTGTAAGGGTGGTGAGACACTGGCACAGGTTGCCCAGGGAAGTTGTGGCTGCCCCAACCCTGGCAGTGTTCAAAGCCAGGTTGGGTAAAGCCTTGAGCAACCTGTTCTGGTGGGAGGTGTCCCTGCCCAGGGCAGGGGGTTCGAATCAGATTATCTTTAGGGTAACTTCCAACCCGAACCATTCCATGGTTCTGTAATTTGGAGTGTGTGTTCCTGACATGGGAAGGTAGAGTGAAATAGCACATAACACTACAAGTCATATAAAGTTTCTCTGAATAAGGAATAAGCAAGCATCTCAGACTTTGAATTTTGCTAACAGCTGTAGCCCATACCTACATCATATTGAAGTGAATGTGAAATATACTGACTTAGATCTTTGGTCTTTTGTTGCAGTTTTTTGACTTCTGGGATGAGAAATAACTTTTCTTTTCATCTTTATAGATTGCAAATTGGCCAGAGCAGGTCCTCCAGCCACAATAGTTCCCATTGACGAAGAGAGTCGGAACGGTGAGTGCCTGTTGGTTCCCTTTGGGCTCTCCACATTGGCTCATGGGGGTGTTTAGGGGCACGTGGGAGAGTGACATGTCGGTGTCTGGCTGGGCAGTGAGGACTGGTCTCTGAAAAGGTGTTTATGAGCATTGTGAGTGGAAAGGTGATAGTGATTCAAAATGCTGAGAGGTGTCAGTTGCATGTTTTGATGCCTTTGGTCTTTGGCTCCACAAAGTCCTTGTGAATCTGTGTTTAGACCACAGTTACTCGTACTAAAATGGTTGTTTAGCTCCAACATATGCCAATGTGATGTTACAGGAGGACACAGTTCTGGTCAGTCGTTGGTTTTGATGTGTTTGGGTAAAGCAGAAACCTTACTCTGCAGCTGATTTGAGTGTTAACATTGCTGCTCATGTGGTTGTTAGAAGGTTGTTGGTTTGCTCTAAGCTGAATACCACGAGGACAGCTCTGAAATGGCAGAACTGCCTTGTATAATAGTCATGGAGACTTCAAAAGGAAATGAATTACTTTTTTTAATTTTAATTCTCCTGTTCACTCACACAGTTCTGATTGTTTATCTGTGGTCTCAGCATTGCATTTATGCAGAGTACTGTGATGGGATGAAGTGCTTTACACTGTTAAAATCTGGTGTTACTCCTGATATTGTTACTACTCTTTCCTGCTTTTCATTTTATTATGGGATTTCCCCTCCTCTTGTAAGCTAAGCATGGTGTTGTGCTCTGTGTGGTGATATTATCATATATGGGTGCTTGAAATGGTGTACACACTCAGGTCATGCTGTTGGAACCTCTCTGCTGTTATCTAACTGCTTGCTGTTCAAGTTGCTTACGGTCAGACAGATAAAAGTATGCTGTTGAACTGGTAAAAAAAAGCCCCATACCCAATTGTTACTACACCTGTGTGCTGAAGAACTCTGGAGGTGCTACTGGAGTGGCTGTTAAAAACAGACTGTGTTCTTCCTCCTGTGGAAGCTGTCCCTGCCCATGGTTGGAATGAGATGATCTTGAATGTTCCTTCCAACCCAAACCATTCTGTGATATAAAAGGTAATAAGGAAGAGCAGCAAAAGCAGTGTGTTGTGGTAAGAAAATGTTTTAATCCTAGTTTTGGATACTTTGGGGGGTTTGGCATGAAGACTGGATGTTGTTGTGTTGTAGAACATGCAGCCTGAAAGGAAAAAATCCTGAGATCCATGCCAGTATCAACAGGGTAAGTGTGTGTACTTTGTGTAGGAATTCACTTGAAGAGTTCATAAAAAATTCTGTCAAATCCTTTGCTATTAAGTCTTAAAATTAGAAATGTGTAGTTGTTTAAAATGATAGCAAGGCTGTGGTGATAGACATGTGCATGATGCATTATACAATGCTTCCACTGGCCAAACAGGCTTCATCTTGGGATGGCCAGGAGATGTAGAGAAACAATCCACCTCATTTTGTTCTAATCTATACAAATATGTCTCTAGGTCATTTGAAGTATGAAATCCAATCAGCTTATTTTCGTTCTTGTCCTGCACTGTGGTTTTCAAAGTTCTGTTGGTATTGTTGGAATGTCTTTCCTAAGGTTTTGGAATGAAGATCTCAAAATAATAGCTGACACCTCTGGGTGACATTTCATTCCATCCAGTGCACATATTCATCGAGTTCTGGCAGCAGAATAAACACCAACTCATGCTCTTTAGAAATATACATTTAGTTCCACTGTGCTGAATGCTGCTTCATGGCATATTGAGCTCCCTCATTTCTAATTCCCAGGAAGTCAGAGACCAACAAATCTCATGGAATAAAACTATTACAAAATCAGTATTGTTTGTTTTCATAGACAGTTACCATGTCTGACCTTTAAAGACCTTCCTGAGAGATCAGCAGAGATGTTATGATGGGACAGTTTCCCACCAGGGGATTAATATCTCTTTATATGAAGTCATTTAGGTACAACAGTATGTTGGAACATAATTGTGAGGAATCCTGGAAAGGTGAACTTGACATTTAAGGTACAAACGAATTATATTCTGATTTTTCCCTTTAACTGAATGGGTGGTAGTACTTGAGATCGCATTAACAACAAACCTAGATTTTTCTAGATGCTTTTTACAAAGTTATTTTCACTCATGGATTTTTTTCTTTTCGTTTTATATTTTCACCCATGGATTTATTTTTTTTAATTGCTGAATTTGAGACTTGGCTTTAACTTGTTTTAAAGACTGAATGAGACATAAATCAGAGTTTTCCATTGCCATTATACACATTTTTTGGCAGCCTTCATGTGGAGCTACCCAGGTTTTTCCCTTCAGATGAGCATCCTGAAATGCTCAGGGGCTTTAGGAAGAGTTTGTAATGGAAAGCAGACTCTTGGGAAATTACTTCTACAAGGCAAAGTGTTAAACTGCTAGGTGTGACAGATGAAATTGGAATTTGGAGCAGGATGCAGAGGTTGAGGAAACAACTAGGCTGAAGTCAATCACCCTGATGTGAGGAAGAATGTGAACTGTGGTGTCTCGGTGCTGCATTCACACCAATAACTCCAGAATTAGGAATTTTTTTATTTTGTTCTTGCCTGTTTCAGGGAAATCAGTGAATGTCATTGTGCTTTGATATTATTTTTGAGTTCTTTAGTTTCTCCCCCTGCCTTTACACTGGTGCAAGTGCTCTAATGCATAATCAGACTGTCTACCCAAATGACCTGCCCCCTCTCCACACTCCTTGCTCTTTGGGGATGTTTGGGATTCATGCTAACTTTCAGCAATGAGCTTTCATGGTTGTAGGTGGGTTGGGTATTATTTTTATGTTTTTCACCTTTCTGCTATCTTGGCAGCAATCTTTATTCAGCCTGACCACCTGGGGAGGCGGAGGATGTGTGATTGTGCTACAAATTCCCATCAATTACCCCCTGCAGTGAGGGAATAACGGGATATAGGGCACAAATATGCAGGAAACAAAGCTGTGGAGTTTTTTTTCCCCACACATTACTGTTGGACCAATTTCTTTTCAGTTTATCTGTATGTGATGCTGGAAGAATAGACCTGATTGCTGAGGCCCATTGACAATGTCACTGCAAATTTCCATGCTGTGCTGAACTATTGTTACTTGGTTTTCAGGGATAATTGACAGGGATTGAATAAAATGCCTCTAGAGACACAAAATGTGTAGCCTGTCTCCTGAGGGAGTCTTAGGTGTGCTAATCCATTTCCTAAGGACTCTGTGTGTTGCCTCTGGACAGTCATTACTTAATGGAATGTTCAGTGACTGCCCATGTGGGCTGGAATTGAAGTAATGAGCCTTAAAGAAGGAAGGGTCCTGCTATCCATCTCTTGCAGGGATCCTGTGCCCATTCCAGCCTGGCTGCCTTAAGGCATTGTGGCTAAGGAGAAAGGAATTACTTAATAAAATGAATTTTCTGGTTTGGGAAGTTGCTGTGGCTGAACAGGAATGTAATAAGAATGGAATTCCTGAAGAACTGTGGCTCTGTGGTAATTCCCTAATTTTCTCTCCTTTTCAGGGTATATGATTGGTTTAAAATACCATTTAATGGGGTTTATTTAACATTAAGAAGTCAATTCAAGGTGTTTAGGTTATTGAAACCGAGTGTGGTGCTTTTTTCTACACATACTCAGGCTTACTTGTGTGATTTAATTGGTGGATGAGACGTTGGACATGCCCTAGACATGTGCACCCAGAACCCAACTGTGTGCTGGGCTCATCCCACAGCGTGGGCAGCAGGGGAGGGGGGATTCTGCCCCTCTGTCAGTGCTCCCTCAGCAAGTTCACTGGTGACACCAAGCTGTGTGCTGCAGTCACACACTGGAGGGAAGGGATGGACTATTCAGAGGGACCTGGACAGGCTGAAGTAATGGCTGATGTCAACCTTATGGAGTTCAACAAAGTGAAGTGCAAGGTCCTGCATCTGGGTCGTGGCAATCCCAGGTTCACCTACAGGTATGGTGGGGAAATAATGCTGAGCAGCAGTGAGGACAAGGACTTGTGGATAATGGTGGATGAGAAACTCAGCATGAGTTGCAGTGTGAGTTCACAACCCAGAAAGCCAGCTGAATCCTGGGCTGCATCCAAAGGTATGTGGCAGCAGCTGACAGAAAGAAAGGATTTTCCCCCTCTACTCTGCTCTTGTGAGACCCACCTGAAGTATTGCATGCAGTTCTGCTGCCAGCAATGTAACAAGGACATGGTACTGTTGGAGCAAGTCCCAAGGAGGCCATGAAGTTAATAAGAGGACTGGAGCATCTTCTCTATGAGAAAGTTGGGGCTGTTCAGCCTGGAGAAGAGAAGGTTGTGTGGAGACCTCAGAGCAACCTGCCAGGAGCTGAAGGGGCTCCAAGGAGGCTGCAGAGGGATTTTTGGTTAGGAGTCGGAGTAATAGGATAAGGAGAAATGGGGATAAATTGAACAAGGGAAATTTCGAATAGGTATTAGGAGTAAGTTTTCCCTGTGAGGGTGGTGAGACACTGGCACAGGTTGCCCAGAGAGGCTGTGGCTGCCTCAACCCTGGCAGTGTTCAAAGCCAGGTTGGACAAAGCCTTGAGCAACCTGTTCTGGTGGGAGGTGTCCCTGCTCAGGGCAGGGAGTTGAGACTGGATGATCTCTAAGGTCCATTCCAACCACTTAACAGCCTGTGAATCTCTGAATGTGATTGTAGCATTGGGCATCAGCAGGAGTTAGCTGACTGTGTGTGCCGATGCTATTCTGTGTTCCTTAATACTTGTCTGAGCACATTAGATTAGCCAGCAATGCAAATCTGATCTGGATCAGGCCCAGACATGTAATAACATGTGGTCAAATTAGTGAGGAGTTTATTCTGGCTTTATGTTTTTATATAAGTAGAAAGGTGATACATTAGGTCTAATATCTGCCTGATTAAGTAACTTGTGTCAGCAGTTGTTACCCCTGTGAAATGTTTTGGACAAATTCTAACAAGAGCAGTGGATTTGTATTGATCTCTGTGTGCCACATGGCTGCACAGTCCCAGGGCTGCTGTTAGGGGCTGGAG